CTTCTGATGGCTTCCTTAGAAAGAATGCAAGGCAGGAAAAGCTTACAATACTTGGCACATCTGACACGAGTTATTCTACCTTCACACTGAATTGACAGTTTCTTAGCAATAGGATTCTAGATGGAAATTCTTTTTCCTCTGAATTTGGAAGGCTTTGTCCCAACGCCTTCTCATGTCCCATGTTGTTGTTGTTGAAAAGTGTAATTCATTATAACTATTGATTCTTGGTATGAATTCATTTTCTTTTTCCTCTCCCTTATTACAAGTTTTATAGGATCTTTCTCTGAACCGGTGTTCTGAAATTTTACAACAATGGCCACTAGGGTGAGTCTGTTTGCAGTCATTGTTCTGGTATTTAATGCAGTCTCTGAATTTGGATACTCTTACCGTTAAGATCTATGAAATTATATTGAATTATTAGTTTAATGATTTCCTCTCTTTACTCTCTTCAGTTATTCAGATGTTGGGTCTGCTGGACTGGCCCCTCTATTTTTTTACACACCACCCCCCAAGTGTTCATCCCTATATCATTTTGCTCTAGTCTTTGGGAAATTTTTTTGGGGGAAATTTTTTTGGGGAAAGTTTACTTTTCATCCTTTTTTTTTTGTGTTGTTCTTAAAGTTCTGTTACCATTATTCTTGATTTATAAATGCTCTCTAAACGGTGCTTTAAAAAAATAATATAATAATCATGTTTTACTGATGCAGTATCTTTTATCTCTCTGGAAATATTAATGACAGTGTATTTGTTGTTATTGTTTTTTCTGTTGTTTTTTTTAAATATTTCTTCCCCATCTCCCCTTATCTGTTCAATGCAAGGAACTGTGTTTTCTCCAAGTTTTCTTTCTTTCTTTTTTTTTTTTTTGTCTATCTCTTTATTTTTTTCTTTTGGTCTCCATCACTAATGTGACCAGCTTTCTTTGAATTGTGGATGACCCCAGGCTGTCTGACCCTATTTAAGAAATCCCTGAAAAACCTGTTTGCATCTCTCAGCATGCGGACAGAGCTTGCCCGCTGAGGGCTGCACTGCAGAGTAGCCTGGGCTCCCTCCCAAGAGCTTCAGGTCTATTCCTATGGCCTGTCAGCTTCTCCAGCGAGAACTCTTCCTGTCTCCACCTGGAGAGATCAGTCTGAGGCCTATATTCTGTGCCAAGGGAGGATGAGGATGGAGGACATGCATCTCAATATTTACAAGGTTTTTTTCACTTTTCACTTAATCCTCTTCTTCTTCTCCCTCCACCGGATCACCCCCACCCCAACCCCCCAATATGGACCTTCTGTGTTGTCCGGGTATATCTCTAATCTTCTACCAGGGTGGGAAGGGGGCAGTTAGCCAACAACCTGGTGGAGTGGGGAAGGGGCTAAACAGACTTCTAATTCATTCTGCTATTTGTGGTCCCACTATTATTTCCACTTCCAGAGGTACACTACTGCCACCAGATCCTGAGAGGTTTTATGGATGGATGAATACATTACTTTGGTTCTCGGTTTTCTTCATTGCTGCCTTAGGATTCACCTCCTTTACAGAAACTTTCCAATTCTCAGAATTTCATTGTTGTCCTCTCCTCTCTGACTTTATTAGCCCTCTCGGGTTTATACCTTGAGAAATCCCCTTAATTTTTAACGGCGTTTGGGAAGGGAATATGGCTAAATTCAACCCACACAGTTCACCAGAAGTCTGCCAGACTTCGGAAATTAGGCATCATCTAACTCCATTTCCTTTTCCTGTCTCTTTTTTTCAACTCCATCCCAACTAATTTTCAATTTTATGCATTTTTTTTCTTCTGTGTCCTCACGGATTAAACTTCATTCAGAGAAGAATTTAACACATTCATTCACACTCATCCTGAGGCGTAATGAATGGTAGAGTTTAATGTGTCTGTAATCTCTCGGAAGAGTATTTTAGTATTAATATTTCTTATTTGGCTTAAGGCACTGGAATAAAGTTCTCATTTGGGAGTTTTAGGCAACCGCATATATGGATTTAGGAGGCCAAGGGAAGCCTCTGTTATGCGTTCTCAAATCCCTCTTCCTTGAGGGAGGCTCACCTCTGCCATGCAAAAGGCAGGTGATAATCTCAGGGCCACAAGCATCGAGGATGAGACGAGGAGGCAAGGATATCTGCTCAATTACAATTCTGGCCCAACTTGTATGTCTTGGAACTGAGATATGAGGCAGGTGAGTCATCTTCCTAAATATTGCTATTCATCTAGAATAGGACATATACTTTATTGTGCTGATAATAAAGTATACACAGAACTACAGGCATCATCAAATGGGAACAACTCTAAGGAAGCCCGTCTTACACAGACCTCCCCGTACAATTAGTGGTGCTGAGGCATGATGAAAATGCCAAATGCCACATGAATGTAGGACAATTAGGTCAGGAAAATAAGTATGGTTAATGATATGACTAGCCATCTTAACCTGTGTGAATAATGATAATAATAATAGCCATTACGGACTGTTGGCTGAAGCAGACACAATTAGCCAAAATCTGCGTAGGCGTGCATGTCAGTCAGCGTTCGGCCAACAAGAGAACATGACCCAGCATTCTGGGGCCAGAATGTAAATTAAAGCCAAATCTACCTGCTGTGCATGGATTCAAGCAACATGAACAGAGGAGAAAGGAAGACAAGACTAGCCATGGTCTCCTCCTTCAGCACATTGCTAGAGCATGCTGTTGAGGCCGCTGGTGGCCCATGGACTCACAAGTGGAGGTAGTGTGCTAAGCGAGGGGCAAGTTTTCCATGGACACCACGAGGATTCCTGGCCTAGTGAGTGGAATTTGGCAGCTATCCTTGCTGTAAGGGTGAAAAATGTATGTAAATAAATAAAGTCCTCTCCCTAAAGCTTGATTTCTGGCCCTATTTTTTTTCTTGCAAATACTATCATTGCCAATAATAATAATTAATAATAATAGATAATACCAAGTGCCTATGTATTGCTTACTGTGGGCTGGGCACTGTTTTACATATATTAATTAAGTCCCACACAACTTTGTGCTATTCTGTTTTTATTTTTAAAATGTATATACTTTTTTATTGATTTCAGAGAGGAAGGGAGAGATGAAAACATCAATAATGAGAGAAAATCATTGACTGGCTGCCTCCTGCAGTCCCCACCCTGCGGATGGTGCCCACAACCCAGACATGTGCCCTGACATGGACTCCAACCGTGACCTCCTGGTTCAGAGGTCAATGCTCAACCCCTGAGCCACCCTGGTCGGACCTCTCCGATTTTGGAGATGAGGAAACTAAAGCACACGGTGGTAACATTACTTTCTACAGTGAGGGGAAGAGCTGGGATTTCAACTTAGGCTCCTTAGCCCCCGAGTCTCTCTTAACCGCTCTGCACTGCTGGCTGCCTTTTCTGCCTTTTCTGGTTACAACGGCCAGGACATGTTTTCATCACTGGCTGTGCAACACTTACACCGCCCTCATCATCTTATCAAGGACCTAGTGGTCCTTTTGATAAAACACCAGCGCTAGCAAAAACAAACACAAAGTTCTCCAAGATACGAATGAACATTTTTCATGGATGGTATCAACCCGCCCTAAACTTCAGCAGCCGGAACTGTGTTTCTCCAGGACTTTATGCGCGGTGGGCATCTCGCATTTTAAGAAGCTTCTACCCCATTGCTTACATTGTAGCTCCGCGTATCTGTGCCAGGCCGTTTCCTAGAATCCCTTCCGATTCTTTCCAGTGTCATCCGATACAGGGGACAGAAGATGTTGCACTGAGTTCATTGCGCTCGAGCATAACCCAGGAAACAGATGAACTGTCCCATTTCACCGTTGGTCCGTTTGGGGCTTCCTATTTTATTATTTATTTATTTATTTATTTATTTAAATACATAATTTTTTTTTTTATTATTGATTTCAGAGAGGAAGGCAGGAGAGAGAGGGAGAAACATCAATGATGAGAGAGGCTCATTGCCCACACTGGGGATGGAGCCCCAGGCAATGTACCCTGTGACCTCCTACCTAGCTCATAAGATCAATCCTCAGCCACTGAGCCAGGCAGGCTGGGCGGGGCTTCCTATTTTAACGCTGAATAATTAGTCATAGGAACGCATTTTACAGTTTGCAAAGCCATTTCACCAGTGTCAGCTGATTTGTTCTCGTGTCTGGCATTTAAATCCAGGGTGCGCTTTGTCTTAAGAATACGGTGCTTTTTCATACGGTTCTTCCAACGCTACCCTTCAAAGACGAATCCATGTTTTAGATGTGAAACTAATACAAAATAATATTGAATGTAAACAGCAATTGAATAATACATTTTTCCAAAATTAAAAAGACAACTCACAGTAGAAAAATTAATGGCCTTTAAATAGATAAAAAGGTTGTTTATCAAATACAAAACTGGAATAGGAAATTGAAATCATAAAAATGGCTTTACTATTCATGACTCAGAAAAAAAAAAAAAGAAAGAAAAAAGACGAGCCCAGCCTGCCGCATACGATTAAGGCCACGTTTCCCGACAACATCGGCGTGTGATTTCCACCCGCAACACAACCGGGAGGCTGGCTGCGGGTTCGACCCTGTGCACCGAGCGGGTCCGCGGCGCCCGGAAGCCCGGGGCGGGCGGTGGCTGCGCGGGGCCCGGCTCCCAGCCCGGCCGCGGCCTCTCCGCCCCGGCGCCCTGCGGGGCAGGCCTGGCCCCGCTCCCCGGCCGCGCCGGCGCCCCCTGCAGGCCGCGCGGGGCACGGCGGGCGGAAGGAACCGGGCCGGCGGCGCTGCCACCGTGTCCCCGCCGCCGCCGCCGCCGCCGCCGGAGCGCCCGGGCCCGATCGCCGGCCCGCCCGCCCGCCACGTCCCCGCGCCGCCCGCCGCCCGCCGCCCCCCGGCTCCCGCCCCCCGGCTCCCGGCTCCCGCTCGGCCTCGGGCCCCCCCGGCCTCCACTCTGGAGCGGCCCCGGCAGCCGCAGCAGGGCCGGCGGCGGCGGATCGAGGAGCTCTCGCGGTCGTCCCGGGAGCGGCTGCTGCAGTCCCGGGACAGGATGTTCTCCAAGTTCACGTCCATCCTGCAGCACGCCGTGGAGGCGGTAAGCCCGGGCCGCGGGGGCGGGAAGCCCCGGCCGCGGGGGCGGGAAGCCCGGGCCGCGGGGGCGAGAAGCCCCGGCCGCGGCGGCCTAGCTCCCTGCCCGCGCCCGCCGGGCCGCCGGGGCCTGGGCCTGGCTCCGAGCAGGTCCCCTCCGGAGGGTCCCGTCCGGCCGGGCCCGGCGGGGGCTCGTCCCCCCGGCAGCGGGGTGGTCGGGGGGTGCCCGGGAGGACGGGGCCTGCCGCCGGGGAGGGGGTGCCTCCGATCCCTGATGGGGGACGGGGAGCCGGGGAGCACCTGGCGGCCCCCCTCCCCTCCCCCGCCGTGACCGTTAGCTTCCGGCAGAAAGCCGTCAGCCCGGAGCCAGACAAAAGGAACGGCCCCACACGGCTGGGTCAGGGTTGTTTTGTTTTGTTTGTTTTGTTTTGTTTTGGGGGGCGGGGGAGCAGGAAGGTGCGCGCCTACCTGGGGGCGACCCCGGCGAGGACGCAGCCCACCCGACCCGGTGCCATGGCCCCGGCCGCCGGCCCTGTGCGCGCAGGCCCGGCCGGGGGCGCGGGGTGATGGCTGTGGCACCCGGGAGCTTGGAGGGGCTCGCAGTGGGGTTTGCAGCCCGAGCCCCGCCATCTGTTTCCTCTCCTGCCCCCTCTTCCCGGACGCCCTGCGTCCATCATCCTGCCATTGTGCTGGCCTCCGAGGCTCTGGGACCCCCGCGTAGACGCGCACCCTTCACGGGTCCCCGCAGGCCGGCACCGGTGTGTCCCAGCGGCTGATGGGAGACCCAGGGGCCTAGTGGCTTCCCCTGAGTTGCTTTCCTTGCCTCTGGGAGGGCTGCCCAAATGGAAAAGTGCATCCTGAGAAAGAACTGTTACTTGGCTGATTTTGTTTTTTTTTTTAAATGTCATTCTCTTTTCTGTGTTCAGATTGAGGGACAGAGCCCATTAAAAGACACACGACTTTATTTTATACAAAAACAATCACTCTAGGGCAGTTTGTATTGCCAGGCAATAAACATAACAGATTTTTAAAAACCCAGTCATGAAAACAAACTTGGGTACAATTATTTCAAGTGACAGGTGGGAAATTTTTTTTGGGGGGTCATTTTAGCGTTACTAACAGGTTCTTGGGAAAACGTGTGTGTGTCACATCAAGAAAGGGAAGTGTTTGTGAATGAAGAGCTGGGTGACGCCTGGGGGAGGGGTGTCCCTTCGTATACACAGTCTGCAGCGTCTTTATGTTAAAAGAATTAAATTAAAATTTGTGACATTTACTTTTTTTTTTTTTTTTTACATGATTCCTTAACAACAGTCACGTTTCAACACTGAATGGTTTCATATTGAGAGCATCGGGAAGAAAAATGTCGTACATTATTTATATCCTTTCCCTGCCAGGCTCATATCTAGAGAAATAAGTACTTAGGAAAGGATGGCTTGCCTGCTCTCCCAGGAAAGACTCGTGTTGTCCCTGAGGCCTGTGTTTTAGGGCCTCATTATTTTTTTGTAATTGTGTATGTTAGCATCTGTCAAATTACCCATGTAGATCTTCTGACACTGGTTCTGTAACATCCAGGTTCTCTACTCTGCTGAGGTTAGTGAGAAAGTTAGATCATATTCACCTCAGAACTACCACGCTGACCATAGTCCCTAGGTTGCCTGGCCAGGAGGGGAAAACTCATGAACAAATGTTGACACACTGTTTTTTTCCTTCTAACATATCTCTTGGGCATGAACTCACGCCTCATGATAAGTAAGCCATCTGGGTGGCACTTGAGGAGTACTTTTTCCTAGCCCAAGATTGGTTTCCATTTATTACGTTCCAGTTATTTGCTCAGCGTGGCTTTCTGTAAGCTCATCTTCCTGTTCCTCGCTTCTTTTCATTAGCTTTTCTCTGTATTCCTTTTCCTTGGCATGCTCAATCAGTACTTTCTGATACAGTATCACAATTAATATAATTATCAGGATTGTACAGAGACAGGAGCTAATCTTGCATGCAAACTCGGACACGACTCTTTTTCAGCCTGTCATCGCATGAGTAATGTTTTCCCATTTGGTGTTATTACATTTAGGTTTCTTTATCCCATCGGATCAACCTTCGAGTGGTTTGTTTTTTTAGGGGTGACCAGATACTTATTCATTTACGTGCGATTTAAAGGTAGATGTAATGGTTTCCCTTCATTTCCTGTTAACTACTTACAAGAAAAAAAGCAAAACACTAAGATATAATAGTTTCAAAGGTTAGTATTTGAAAATGTGTTAAGCTGATAGAGTGCGATTTGAGTTTAGGAGAGAAATTCACACCTTGATCCAAAACATAACTTGTCATTCTTGCCTCTCGTTTTAGAAATGACAGTCCCTCTTCAGGATAGAAAGGGTTGGCCAGTAGGAGTTACGAAATGAATCTGTTTGTAAGTTGCCCCATGTCACAGATCTGAAATCAGGCCTCTCTTGTTCTGAAGCTGGCCTGGATCACTTCAGTACAAATTCCCCAAAGGGTAATAAATAAAATACCTCCCAATTAGCACAAGTCAGTATTGTGGAGGGCCTCGTCTGTGCTGGGTAATCTGCCAGGGACTGGTATCTTTTAACATCCAGCCAGTTCCATCCTTTGAGGGGAGACTTATTTCAAGAGGAGAAAGGGCAGTGAGGGAAGAAAGTCTTATTCATTTTAACGAATTATTATAGTTCAATTGAAGTCATCTTTCATTGATTGGAAATTACAGTTAAGAGTTCATCTTGATTTTGGGGGGCCAGCTCTTTCTTTTAAAAAGGACTCTGCCCTGGGAATGAAAACCTCAAGCCAAACAGAACGTCGTGCTTTCTGACACGTATTCTTTTCCAACAAGCTGTTTCTAACTTCACTTTTGGGTCGTCCAGCAAGTGTTCAATGAGCGCCCCGCGTAAGAGACACAGATGTATTATCCCTGTCCTTGCCCACAATGTTTACAGTCTCATTTGGGAGACAAAACAAATACACAGGCAGTTCAAGTATAAACACGAGAGTGAGGCTTCGCCCTTAAAGCCAGACAGAACAGGGTTCCAGTCCCTATCGCTTAGAATTGTGGTGAAAATTTAAATGAGATCATGTACCTGAAGTGCTTAGTGCAGTGCCTGGCACATAGTAAGTGCTCAGCAAATGTTAATAAACAATTATCATTATCATTAATATTATTATTTGGATGGCTGTTCAGCCAATGAGTCCCAAGGGAGGAAGGGAGCAGGCACTTGGGATTGGAGTAGCTGGGAAAGGCTCTCTGGAGGACATGAGGCTTGAGCTGGACTTGGGAGGCGGAGACCAAAGGAAGGGCATTAGAGAAGTTGGGGTGAAGAAGCAGCATTTGAAAAGATCTGGGCACGGAGCGTTCATGATACACGTGCGACGGCATACAGATGTGGCTTTGAGGACACCAATTCTCGTGTGGACTATCAGTGTAGGTCCTCTGTGCGGTAGGCATGTTGAAGACAGATAGTCCGGGTTTCTCGTTACAAGCAGTGTTTCCTTGGGCAAGTCACTTACCTGGCTTTGGGTCTTAATAGGAGTTCGTTTGGGAAAAGAAGGCTTTTATTGTGAAATTTTAAGACCACACACAGTAAGGGCAAGCTTTGTAGCACATCTCCTGGCACATAACTACCTATTAAATGTGGCAACTGCTGTGTCATTCATATAGTCACTCAGTAGATGTCATCGGATGGTTCCTAAATGCCATCACTGAGTTGGGAACTGGAGATTCAGCGATGAAAAAGATGACACATTCCCAGCCTTTGTAGAGTTTACAGACTCGTGGAGAGGATGGATAATTCAACAATGAAAGATGTGGGGTGAGGACTAGGAGAGACGGGGCAGGCGGTAGGGGGTTTCACAGCATGGGTGGAAAGGACTATAGTCTACGCAGGAAGCTGGCAAGGTTTCCCAGAGAAAGCTGTGGGTAAGTTAGGCACTTCTGTCAATTTCTCTTTGAGGTATGGATTGTGTGAATTTTCAAGAATTGAAACTCTGTATTATTCAGGTTAATTCAGATTAGAATCCCCTCAGGCTGATTCACACATCTCTTCCCTTTTTTTTTTTTTTTTTTTTTTTTTTTTTTTTTACCCAGAGCATACATGTTTTTATGCAATGATAAAGCAGGTAATTTGCATGTGAGAATTAGTAATGGAAGGGGCAGGTTCACTAGGAAGTTTTACATAAATCAGGAAATTTATTCATGTTTGAACTAGATTGTTACTAAACTATAAGTTATTAGCAATTTAGAACTCTTTCGCCAGCTGCTTAAATAGTATTTTTTCTTTAAATCAAACTCCTAAAAGAGGGATATTTTTATATGTAAGCAGAAACATCCTCCTTTGAATTTGTAATGACAAAGGTCCTGACACAAATGGTGTAAGGCCTCGGATCTAGTGGCTTAGCCTGGAAATAGAGTTAAGTCCCATGGGCAACGTAATTTGGAACAAGAATGCTGTGATCTTACATATTCAGGAGGTTCTGCAGCATAATTTAACAAATCACACGCTCATACTTAAGAAACTAAGTACATTTCTTGAAATGCCAAATTTCATTTGGGTTTGTCCCGATTGTTAATACATTTAACTATATGTAAAGCTGGTATATGAAAAAAAAAAAAGTCTATAAAAACAAGAGAAATTTTATGTTTTGAAAAAGATTCCCAAAACAAGCAGCTGATTATAACCTATTTTTTTTAAAAATCTAGAAATTTCAGGAAGATTGTTTCCAAATGAACACCTTCATTCTTATTTTTCTATTCCCCCCCCCCCACTCAGTCTCCCACAAGTGATTTCTCTCTCCATGTTCTTGAAGTACAATACTCCCAAAGGTTAAAGATTTTAGAGTGTTTAAAATGTTTTCACAAAATTCTATTTGAAAATGAGAGGAGTACTTATGTTCTCTTAGCCCAGAGTTCTCAGAGGGTGAGAATGGGCAAGGAGGGGCGAGCCAGCAGCAGGAAGATGGTGATGAGTGCTGAGCCCTTCTCAGGCCTTTCTCCCTGAATACATTTCACCTCCTGGATTGGAACCAGAGGCTATAATTGCCCAATAGTTTGGAAGTTGTTGTCACAGGGTTTCGAACTTTGAGTTCTCTGCTGGGGACACCAAGAAATCAAAAGGGAACACGTGAAAGGGCAGGAGTAACATGACCTCTTAGGTCGTCTGTCTAGATGAAGTATAGTACCCTGCAGAGTAAGGTTACCAGAATAGAAACCTATTTGTTCTTAAGTGAGCTGGGCCAACTCTGCCCTTTCTGATAAAAATTTGTTGATGATACTAAAGAGGGCGCTCTCTCTGTCTCTCTTTCTCTCTCTCTCTCTCTCAATCTCAATCTCAATCTCTCTCTCTCTCTCCCCTCCCCCACTCCCAAAGGAAAATGTTGAAGGTGTATCACGTCTTTTCTTTTTGGTTACTCCTCACCTGAGGATATTTTTCCATTGATCTTCAGTGAGAGTGGAAGGGAGGAAGAAGGGGTAGAGAGAAACATTCATGTGAGAGACACACATCAACTGGTTCCCTCCCACATGAGTCCTGACCAGGGACAGAGATCAACCCTGCAACTGAGATACATGCCCTTCGCCGGAAATCGGAAATCGAACCCATGACCCTTCGGTCCGCAGGCCAGTGCTCTAACCACTGAGTAAAACCGGCCAGAGCCACCAAGTCTTTTCTAACACATGTCTGAAATACTTGTAGGTTTGAGGAAGGGCTGTCATTTTGGTCTTAAAACCTCTGGAGTAAATGTCAGAGCTAAAATGTAAAACATTTTTGACTTTGTGGTCTTAAAATAGATCATGTCTTGTTCACGTAGTTATTTTGCTGAAAAATACGCCCTGCCTATTCTAGGCTTCAAAAAGAAAAGATGTACATCTGCCTGCCACTGAGAGTGGGATCAGTTGTAATCTGATTATTGGTTGACTTTGGTATATGTCTCAATAGTGGTGACGTGTCACTAATTATATAGCAGTGTTTTACCGTTCTGGTGTCAAAGTCCTAGGTACAAAGATGCCCGGTGCCCGATAAGGGCCTTTTACTGATACTTGAGTAATAGAATATTGTGTGTTTTCACTGAACACTGTTAGCTTTTGAAGTCATATGCAGTTACTAGTTTCAGGGGAAGGGAACAAAATAATTTTGTAGTTTAATAATAATGTTGGTAAACGTGTGTCCTCTTTCTTAAGAAATCATTTTCACCTTCTTGGATTTGACTCATTTTGCTTCTCTTTGAAATCTGGCAAATGGGAGCAACTAAAAGCTCGCCCCTTATTTGTATGTTGCTTTTGCATGATTGGTAGACAACTACAGAATTGTACTTGTGCGGAACTTGAATGCCATTTTCTTAACTGTGGTCTTTTTGCGTGTGTGTTTGTGCAGCTGGCACCATCGCTTCCTTTACAAGAAGATTTCGTTTATCACTGGAAGGCAATCACCCATTACTACATCGAGACTTCGGGTAAGAAACCATGCTACTGCTGATTACACCGAAAAATGTGTGGAATACGAAAATGTGTTTCAGATTCAGCTGCAGTTATTTTATATTTCAAATACACAGATTTGAAATACTTGTAGGTTTGGGGAAGGGCTATAATTTTGGTCTTAAAACCTCTGAAGTAAATTTGTAAGCAATTTACTTTTAATTGCTCTTTTAGATTTGTTTAAAAAACCACACACACACCTAGTGAGCACCTACTCTGGGTAGGCATTTTCCCAGGCACTGGGGGATAGAACCATCAAAAAGACAAAATCCATAACCAAATTAATATACTGATTGGGGGGAACGCAAACAAGTAGATATCTACAGTGTGGCCGATGGAAGGTGTTCAGAAGCACGTGAAGCACGCTGAGGAAGCAGAGTGTGTGCTGGGGCTGGAAGGTGGCCGTGGTAGGTCGGAGAAAGCCCCATGGCCCCAGGCCTGGTCTGAGCTGAAGTCTGAGGGAGAGAGGAAGCTAGTAGGAGCTGAGGGGTGGGGTGGGGGGGGACCAGGGAGGAGAAGTTGCAGGAAGAGGAGGAGTGCACAGGCCCTGAGGCTGGAACGGGCTGCCTGCGCTTGCATGGAGGACAATTCCTGGAACTATGAGGAAGCCAGTGCGGCTAGAGGGAAGGAGGAGGAAGTTGGTAGGATATGACATCACAGCTGGAGGGCAGGGATTCACACAGGACTTTGTAAGGCACCCCAAGGGCTTTGGCTTGTACTCTCAGGTGGGGGCCATTGGAGCGTTTTGAGCAGAGGTGACTGGGTGCCTTTGGCTTCTGTGAAGATTTAGATTGAAGGGCTGCAGAGGTCAGTGCCCCCCATGGGTAGAACAATTAGGGAACTATTGCAGTGGTTTGAGAGTGATGGTGGAAGGTGATAAGAAGTGATGGTATTCTGGGTATGTTTTAAAGAATTGGATATTGGGCATGAGAGAATAAAAGGCGAGGATGTCTCCAGAGCTTTGGCTTAGGTAGTTAAACTGGCAAAATAGAGAATGAGGAGACTGCAGGAGGAGCAGGTTTGAAAGTGAATTTTCAACATATTAAGTTGGAGGTGCTCATGATCTATATAGTTGGATGTGTCAAGCAGACAACTGGAAACAGGCATTCAGGGTAGAGATCTAACTAAACTTAGAGGGATATGAAACTGAGAGCCTGAGACCAGATGAGCTTATCTAGGGAGGAAGGATAGATGGGAGCGAGAAGATGTTCAGGAACTGGGCCCTTGGCCTCGATGTCTAGGGATTAGGAGGAGGAGAACAAGAGCAAAAGAAACCAAGAGGTTGTGCTGCTGAGGGGAGTGTTGGTGTAAAGGGGAGCTGAGACATGGAGCAGCAGCTGGAGGGAGGTGTAGTGTCAGAGGAGGCAAGGATACTTTAGGGTGGAAAGTGTGCAAATGATAATTTAATGGAATGATCTAGTAGAGAGGGAAAGGTGAGTATAGTATCAGATGAGATCATTTCTGAGCAATGTAGGCAAGGGAAGGGGGATGGAGGGAGGGAACTAGTGCCTAGTGCCCACGCAGAGGCTTAGCACTGAATAGGTTGTGGACAGTTTCTCCATAAAAATAAGGTAGAGAGCAGAACATCTGGGTGTAAGTGCAGGAAGCGGGTAGATGTGGTGTGGGGAGTCTTCAGAAGTCACCTTCTGGTTTCCATTTTTTTCTCAATGAATATGCAGAGTGAATGTGGGGAATGGGAACAGTTAGGTCAAGGCGGGCAAACTTTTCCTGGAAAGGGCCAGATGGAGGCCATTTGGTCTCTTTGTAACTACTCAGTTCTGTTGTTGTAATGCAAACCAGCCATTGTAACATGTGAGAGAGTAAACATTCCCTTGTTCTAATACAACTTTATTCATCAAAATAGATGGCAAGGCTGGATCTGCCCTGTGGGTAAGCAGGGAGCACAGTAGCATTGCTCCAGGGCGCTGGGCTCCCTTGAGGAATGATAGGTAAACACTAGTGAATATGCAGACTGGACACATGTCATTTCACTGAAAGGAAACATGAAAAAATGAGAGTTGATTTGGCAAGTTGATAGGGTTATGGGGGATGGGCCTTAAAAGAAAAAACAAACAAAAAAAACCACCTTTATATTTATTTGTACAATGAATAAAAATCAGACTATACACAGGGTGAGGCAAAAGTAGGTTTACTGTTGTGAGTCCATGAAATAGTTTATTCTTGTATCATTTGCTATTTTACTTTCCATACGAACAACTATACACCTACTTTTGCCTCTACATATTCTATAAGTTAATTTTCATGCATAATAATGTAGAAATAAGAGCCATTTGGGGGAAAATGGGAACAGATCAGGAAAAATGCATATAAACATAAAAATTTTGTATGCACTTGTAATTAAAAAAAATTTTTTTCCCCAATAGCCAGGTAGATGGTTTGAATTTTAAGTATCTTTATATAGAAACAGGTTGGCCTTGACATTAAGCTTAATAACCTAGAACATGTAGGGAGGACAGATTCTGTTTTGATTGCCACTGAATGACTTCTTAGCATTGGGAAATCAGACTCCCATGCCCCTAATTCATCTCTGTCTATGAAAGCACGAGGAGACCAAAGACTTTCTTCTTATTAACAGTCAGCTGTTCCCAAAGATCAAGAAATAGAAACATCAGTGATAAGAAAGAATCATCGATAGGCTGCCTCCTGTTTATCCCCTACTGAGGATCAAGCCCGTAACTTGGGCATGACCATGAATTGAACCTTGACCTCCTGGTTTATGAGTGAACGCTCAACCATTGGACCACATTGGCTGGGCTGATTCAGTTTTCTAATAAGAGGGCAAAAGCACATAGCCTGCATGGCTTAGTTGGTTGGAGAGCTATCTTGTACACCAAAAGGTTGTGAGTTTGATTCCCAGTCAGAGCATATGCCCAAAATTTGGTTCCATCCCCAGCATGCAGGAGGCAACCGATTGATGTTTCCCTTTCACATCAGTGTTTCTCCCTCTTTCTAAAAATCAATTTTTAAAAAATGGTAAAAGCATCATCTAAATTCTGGCAAAGATGATTATACTGTGAGTATAAATCTCATTTAAATGTGTAGTTCAGATTTTTCTGTTTGAGTAGGGATAGGGAAATATAGAGTATTTTAGTGTAAAATTGCAGTTTAAAATATGCAGTTTGATATTCAGTAAAGTATTTAGTTCAAACACGCAGTTTAAAAATGTTGGGTTGTTTGACAAACGTTTTTTATCGTTTAGATGACAAAGCCCCAGTGACAGATACAAATATTCCCTCTCATCTGGAACAGATGTTAGATATATTGGTACAAGAAGAAAAGGAACGAGAATCTGGAGAGACGGGGCCATGTATGGAATACTTGCTTCATCACAAGATCCTGGAAACGTTATATACCTTAGGGAAAGCTGATGTAAGTTTCTAACCCACATCATGTTCTTAGGCACGTAATACATATATTCCCGTCTTAGAAATAAAGAAGCTGCCAAGTACTAAATTTAATTATAGAGGCATGCATTAAGCATGGCAGGACTTAAGTCATTATTGTACAAAAATGAAAATCGTGCATCCTATATGAACATGACTTTCCATAGAGATAGCAAAACTCCCAAATGCTCAAGACAACACTCGGTAGTTAGGCAGCCTGGAATCCCAGTGTAAACGTTCATGAAAATAAACTCAAGTACATTTGCTCAGAAACAAAGGAAGTGAGAAGGAACCCAGTGAAAGCTGGGGTACAAATATTAGGAATTATATAAAAACAGAAATAGGAATTCTGTTTCATAATCCTGAAAGAGACTGTCACTGATTATTCTGACATTAACTCTCCTAGTATGTGGAGACCGTTCAAGTTTTTAGGCCTAATGAGTCTTTGAAATCTTTATGAAGCTGGTATTCTATAAATAATATTCTGTGCTCCAAAACTTCCAAATAACTTATAAAGATAGTAAGGGGAGGGGAAGAACTTGGGGTTCAGGTTAGGAGGCCTGGCTTTGTCACTAATATATTGCAGCCTTCCCTGAGCAAGTCTTGCTGGTTAATCTTCCTCTTCTGTTAAAGCAAGGAAGTGATATCAAACAGCCTCAACTCTAAAAGTCTGTGTTTCTGTTCTGTCAATGTCTAAGATGAATAAATATTAATTGATTTTTGAGTAAAATTTTTTGAGTAAATTTTAGTAGTTGTACTACTAAGTATATTTTTATATAGGAAATTGTAACTAGTAGTGGTTTATCAGAATAATGCAAGGTATTTGCTATCTTAAAAAATATTGTGCTTAACATAATTTACATTGTTTCTGGATAGCATGTCTGTGATGATGCTTTAGAAATGCTACACATTCTGTGACTGTATTTTAGTTTTGAGGCAGTATAAGCAGGCTAATTATAGAACACATCACATTAATTCATACTCTCTTAATTCACAATGTGAGTAATCATGTTTACCTACTTTTAAGCAAATATTTAAAACAACTGTGGTTCTTTTTTAAATATTAATTGCCTACAATAATAATTTAAATAACTTTGCAACTAATTTAAAACAGTGTTGTTGGCCTAGATCACAGAAGAGTATATCCTAAATCCTTTTATTTACATACATGTGTTAGGCTTTATTTACTCCTGCACTTATATGATGGTCAGTTATTGATTACCTGCCATTAGCGTAAGTAACATCATTCTGGCTTTACTTTGCCAAAGAGATAAGTATAATCATCATTTCATGTAACCTTAGCATTTAGGATAAAAACAGGCTGACGTCACCCAAACCACGCTCGGATCTCAACAGCGTACTGTCACCATGATTTCTATAATTACATCAGCCTCTGGTCCCATATGCTATGTTCTGGTCCCAGATGTCATTTTATTTCCAGGATACCAGGCATTAATAATTGAGCATTTTATCCTGGCTAATTGCACTGACTTGAGGTTGGAATATGTTCGAATGCATTGTCTCTCCTATACTGTAAGCATCTGAGTAAGCGTGTTTGTATTCTCTGTTCCTTTCCTTCCCTCCTGTGCTCAGTGTCCTCCAGGAATGAAACAGCAGGTGCTGGGCTTCTACACCAAACTCCTGGGCAGAATCAAGCAGCCTCTGCTTCCGCACATCAACGTGCACAGGCCCGTGCAGGTGTGTGTCCCCGCCACACAGAGTGATTTGGTTTGGTTGCTTTAGGTATAGAAATAATTGTGTGTAATTTTCCTAAGAGTACAAATAATACAGGAAGTTATCCTAAAAATTACAGGCAAATTAGCAAGTACTTGGGCTTTCCGTATGACATGGTATTAAATCTACTTCATGTCTTTATTATATTTCTATGACATCTCAAGGAATTTTTTATATACCTCATTCATTTTTGGGGGGGATAATGCATTTGAAAAATGTATTACTAGTAAACTTGTTTTGATGTCGGTGATTGTAAATAGTGTCCTTTCTGAATAATGCAGGCTGTTTGCATTATTTGAAAACTTTAAATATCCACAAGGTGTGTGGATGCCTATGTACATACTTGTGAAAAATAAGCTAACTGTAAACATTTTTAAAAACATTGTTGACAGAAATTAATTCGACTCTGTGGTGAAGTCCTTGCAACACCAACGGAAAATGAAGAAATTCAGTTTCTCTGTATTGTGTGTGCAAAGCTGAAGGAAGATCCCTATTTGGTTAATTTTTTTCTGGAGGTACAGTATCCTCATCACTCTACAAAGCTTGCCTGTGTTAGCGCTTTTCTATGCATTTGACTTTCTCCTGCTGGTCAGTCAGGTTCTGAGGTCCAGGGTTCTGTCTATTCACCTTTGGGTGTCCACAGCTTCTCTGTCTAGTGCCCGGCACAATGCATGAGGTCTGTTTAATTAACACAGATTGAATGAAGGAATCTTTAGAGAAATACAGCTTTATTACCTGTAAGTATAGACAGTCACAAAAGTACTTTGCGACTACTAAAAGGCCCCCTGAAATCTAACCTATATTCAATTTATACCATCTAACATATGCATCTACTGTGGGTTAAACACCTATGGTAAATGAGCTAGAAACTGCCTTTGCTTAAAGGAGTTTATAGGCTGGCGGCGAAGGTAAGACTAATATTCAGATACAGTAGTGGTCAAATAGTCATCACTAACACTGGTCACCGCTTATGGTCAGTGAGACATTTTGTAGAGCAAGCATGTCAAACTCGTGGCCCTCGGGCCACATGCGGCCCACAACGAATATTTTTGCAGCCCAGCCAATATAACGATGTGTAAGAAACATTTTAATAAAAATTTCGTAACTTAATTTTTACAATATCCTGTTATACATAATTATTAATAACGAACTACAACGTTCACTAATGACTATTATGTGTTGCATTCATTTCCCTTATGTGCCTTCCACGCAGGCCCACCGTTTCTCTTCTATAGTACCAGCAGCGAATATTTTAGCAGCTGATTGCCACGTTGTTATCTTGTACTTTCTTGTTTGGTGTGCGCAACAGGAAATATTTAGCTTTCGGAGAACAAGAAAATTAGGCTTATGTGAGTTACGCTTATTAATTTGTGCAGTTATTCGGTGTCTGGTAAGTTAATGTTCAAGAAAAGATTAATTTTTATTAAAATGTTCTGTTATTTTATGTTAACGATGACTCATTTATTCCGGCCCTTTGGATTCAGCATGTCTCTATCAAAATAAACCGACGTTTCTATGAAAATTGAAGCTTTTGGTTTTTTTCGGCCCACATAAACTTAAACCTTGTTTGTTTGGCCTGTTAGCCTTTGAGTTTGACATGCTTGTTGTAGAAAATGTAAAGCATATCTGAAATGCCTCTGCAAGGTTTAAAATACCTAAAACAGCCGAAACCGGTTTGGCTCAGTGGATAGAGCATCAGTCTGTGGACTGAAAGGTCTCAGGTTCGATTCCGGTCAAGGGCATGTACCTTAGTTGCGGGTACATCTCCAGTGGGGGGTGTGCAAGAGGCTGCTGATCGATGTTTCTCTCTCATTGATATTTCTAGCTCTCTATCTCTCTACATTACTCTCTGTAAAAAAAAATCAATAAAATATATTTTTTAGAATACTTAAAACACATTTTGTTCAAGTCTGAGCGTGTTCATTTATCAAAACACTTCTATCTGTTCCTCTGCTGGCTAGACACTGAATGTTAATGATAGTAAAATCCATTCAGGCATGACACCTGTTTTAGACGGCTTTTGATGTGACACTTACAGCACCTCTACTCCCTTTCAGAATAAGTCCAAATCATTGGCTTCCAAAGGAGCAGCCAGTGTCGCTGCTCAAGACACGTTGAAAGGCCCAGATTCCTTGTCCACAGACACGGGACAGCCCTGCCGGCCGGAGGAGCGGCCTGGCGCCGGGCCGGAGCACACAGAGTTGGACGAGGAGCCCCCTCTGCAGACGGACGACCTGTCCACCAGCCTGGACAACCTCAGCGTGGCTTCCCTGCCGGAGGCCACAGTCGTCCGCCCCTACCAGGATTACAACCTCGTGAATTCTTTGTTAAATCTTACCAGAAGCCCTGTGAGTTGTCATTATCTCTATAACGTTCCCTCCTAATGTGATCACAGTTATATGCACTTAAAATAGGGAAAAAAAAAAAAAACACACAAAAACTTATTTTAGAGTAAAGCATTAAATCCTTTAAAGTTAAGGTTTTTTTTCATACTGCTCGTCGGATATCTACCTTGGGAGCTGAAAAGGGTGTGTTTTCCCTGCAGGACGGCCGGATAGCCGTGAAGGCCTGCGAGGGCCTCATGTTGTTAGCGAGTTTGCCGGAGCCCAAGGCCGCCAAGTGCCTCACGCAGAGCACCTGCCTGTGCGAACTGCTGACCGACAGATTGGCCGCCCTGTACAAGGCCCTGCCTCCGACGGTGGACCCCTTAGACATTGAAACCGTGGAAGCCATCAACTGGGGGTAAGAACCACCACTTGTGTTTCCATAAAAGCGACTTCCCACCCAAACCGGTTTGGCTCAGTGGATAGAGCTTCGGCCTGCGGACTGAAGGGTCCCAAGTTCAATTCCGGTCAAGGGCATGTACCTCGGTTTCAGGCACATTTCCAGTAGGAAGTGTGCAAGAGGCAGCTGAGAGTTTCTCTCTCATCCATTTTTCTAACTCTCTATCCATTCCCTTCCTCTCTAAAAAATCAATAAAATATATTTAAAAACAAAAACATAAAAGCGACTTCTCACATACTTTCAAACCCGTTTCCATTGGGCAATAATAGGAATCTTTCATTTTGAAAAAAATGTAACATTGCTGTGAGCATTAAATGGGATTATTTTATGAGGCTTGTTTTGAATTGGTTATTAATTAGTGGAAATAAATGGGTATGGGAATAGTCCTACTGTTAGAGGGAAGCTACTTTGTCTCTGTCCATTACAGTGATCAATCAAGACCTTAAATACATTCATTAAGATCAATAACTTTATCTGTTTTTAACAGATCCTAAAAATAAGGTAATCTTTTTTATGAATAGGTTCCGCAGGCCCTGGGGGCAGTCTTGTGTGGTTATGGCCTCCTGATGTAGGATCTCTCCTCCTGCCTCCTTCTCTCACCTCTTCTACACATCTTCTAGGGCTCCCCTTTGATTATCACAGGAAACTGTGATTATTGTGGAACATTTATAAGTTATTAAAAAGTATAAAGCAGCATAAATAAAATCACTCATAATCCCACCATCTATAAGCAAATATATTTTTATTGACTTCAGAGAGGAAGGGCGACCTCCTGGTACATGAGTCAATGCTCAAACACTGAGCCACGTCGGCTGGGCAAACAGGATAATATTTTGACATAATAACCTGTTACTGTTTTTCTGTGTATTTTTTACCCTTCTTGGTTTTTACTTGTTTTTTTTCCATTCTGTATTCTGCTGACATCTGCCAGTCAGACCCACTTGTTAACTCCCCTGTTTTGCACGTTGAGGCAGGAAGAGGAGCAGGCCAGTCATTTCCTTATGCAGATCTTCCATCACCTTCCTTTTTCTTTCTCCCAGTGCCGAGGTTCTCCTTCTCTTCATTCCTGTTACTTGGTCAAGTTCATGGCAGAAGTCTGAGGGGCTGATAATGGTTTTCCTCCTCCAGCTCCATTCTGCTTTAGTCCCTCTCTTCCCACATAATGAGTGAAAATTAGTTACAACTTTTATTGAGAAGGTTTCCTCTAATCTTTGGCTTTCTTTTATAAAACCCTCATCCGGTAGTCATGCGGCATTGCCTGTGTAAACACATCATCCTGTGTAAGTTCACTCACTGCCTTCATGTTTCCATATGCCCTGAGCCACATTAATGCTTTTGGATGACTTCGCGTTTCTTCTGTGCCCCACAGCTTGGACTCGTATAGTCATAAAGAAGATGCGTCAGCATTTCCGGGAAAACGAGCCTTAATTTCATTTCTTTCCTGGTTTGATTATTGTGATCAACTCATAAAGGAAGCACAAAAGGTTGGCATGTTTCTGTTGTTTACTGATCCTTTAAAAATGTAACTGTCTATTAAGTGAAATTCGAATTCTCAGTTAATATCCCCAAATACGTTTTAATTGTCCTAGGATAACACAGTTAGTAAATAAAAGAACAAGAGAAGTGCATCTGTATAAGAGAATAAATTACAATCCCAGTTCTGCCTGTATATTTCTTTACGTATTGTACAACAGCCCTTCACAAGATAGCATTGGTCTCTCTTCCTTTCTCCTCGTTGGTAGATGTTACTACCGTGAGGGGATTAGGATAATATTTTTATCCTGCTTGTCCGAAATTTAGACACACTGTAATGAACTTAATAACTAGCATCAAACCGAGGCAAGTTTATTTTCCACATTAATTCAGACAGGGTGGAGACTGATTTATTGATGTTACAAATTAATCTCTCTTCGATATTGATGCTTGTACTATATTCTAGACTACTGCTGTTGCTCTTGCCAAAGCCATTCACGAGAGATTTTTTATCGGTGTTATGGAACCTCAGTTAATGCAAACGTGAGTGGTCTCTTTACTTAAAAAAATAAAACTGCTGTGTTCATGTTGTTTTTGCCCGCTAATTCCCGGTTTGTTATGCCAGTTCCGAGATGGGTATCCTGACATCGACTGCTTTGCTTCATCGCATTGTTCGGCAAGTCACCTCCAACGTATTGCTTCAAGAAATGGTGTTTTTTATCCTTGGGGAACAGAGGGAGCCAGAAACTCTGGCAGAAATGAACAGGCATCCTTTAAGACACAGGTTAATTGAACATTGTGATCACATATCTGATGAGGTGAGCTGTGCAAGGGTTTATACTTAGCGTCTCTGAAATACTGACTTTAATATACTTGTGACGTGTTGAATACAGCCTCTTTGTTTAATGTGGCTTTAAAAATTGGCACCTAGACTTATAAGATGGCAAGAAGACTTTATTGAAAGACATTTTTCAGTTAGCCTTATCGTTTTTTGGTTTCAGATAAGCATAATGACACTAAGGATGTTTGAACATCTTTTACAAAAACCCAATGAGCACATTCTTTACAACTTGGTCCTAAGAAATCTTGAAGAAAGAAATTATACAGAATATAAACCCGTGTGTCCAGAAGATAAAGATGTAGTAGAGAACGGACAGATAGCAGGAGCAGTGTAAGTTCCTAGCCAGCTCTGTTTTTCTGTATATTTTTGTTACAGTAAGGCTGATTAAGAACATATATATATATAGTAGTTCATGTACAATTATAATTTTTCTCTTTCCTCTTATTTCCCTTATTCATAAAAAAACTCTAACAATTTTGCAAGTTTCAAAAAAAAATAAATCTTAGATATCTTAATATTACTGTCCCTTTAAATTATAAGTGGCATTACCCATTAAATCTAACACAACCACTATCTTCTTGAGTTTGATGTTAGTATAAAATGTTAAGTCCTCTCTAAAATATCAATACAGTATTTCTTAATTTTTTAAACAAAATTATATAAGAATAAAATTATTTCTAAGAGCACAGCAGAGAATCTTTTGGTTTAGAAAATATAATAAAATGTTTTCTTATGCGTCATTAAATTAAACTTAGAGATCTGGAAGAAGATCCATTATTTACTGACATTTCACCAGATAACACTTTGTCAAACCAAGAGTGGCTTAGTTCTTCGCCTCCTGCTACTCCAGACCACCCCAAAAATGATGGGAAGACTGAAGTCCATAAAATTGTGAATAGGTGAGTTGCTATATACATTTAACTTGCATCTCTCTCTTTTTTTCTCTAAATATATTCTTCTTGATTTCAGAGAGGAAGAGAGAGAGATAGATACATCAGTGATGAGAAAGAATCATTAATCGGCTGCCTCCTGCACACTCCCTACTAGGGATTGAGTCCCAACTCAAGCTGGTGCCCTGACCATGACCTTGTGTTTTATAGGTCCCTTGCTCAACCACTGACCTCCACACGGCAGAGCAACTGGTTATTTCTTTTACTTGTTTTTATAACAAATAATAGCTCTGCCCTTAGATTATTACAGAGATAGTGTATGAACTCAGTCTTCCCTGGTTTAATCTAAAGATTATGTGAGCCTTTTGTCATGTTTAGGTAGCCAGTGAGAGAGTTTCAGGGCAACTATCAATAGCAAAAGAGAAAGGCTCTGTTTAATATAGAAATAAACACACGTGACCTTGGTGAAGCTGACCTTCTAAGGGCCCTTCTTTTTGTATGTAAATAATTTTAAGTAATTCCCAAGTGCAACAACATTGAGAATCTCCGGAGATTCTCAAACTACTTATTAGATATTTATTCCTAAGCATAAGGTCATTTCTTTTTTAGTCTATGGTTTTACTTTTTTTTTTAAGTGCCCTTTCTGTGGCAATTTCCTGCATTTTCTTCCTTTGCAATGCTATTACTGATGCTCCTGATTCCGTCAGATGACTAGAGAAAAATGCATGTCGCTTGAAATATGAAATCCGGATGCATACAAATCTTAAATTCACTTACTTGAAGGCCAGTTTCCCGAGATTAACAATAGCATGGCAATCTGTCAGTGTGCTGTAATGTTAAAAAAAAAAAAAAAAAAAAAAAGTCATATTAGGCTTACTTCTCCTTTAAGAGGAATGAGAAAATTTTGAATAAAAGCTTTAATGAAAGTGTATTTAATGAGTAAATTTTACTTTTCAAGTCTCCACTTGCATTAATACTTGTTTAAACTGATGCTGTTGGTAGGTATTTTAATTCACATAAAGATGTTGTGGGAGTATGATATTATTGATTATAACTTTTTTCATTGAAGTTTTCTCTGTCTGGTGCCGGATGAAGCAAAGTCATCCTATCATGTTGAGGGCACTGGCTATGACACCTACCTCCGAGACGCTCATAGGCAGGTGAGGCCAGTAACTAGCTTTTTGAAATGAAATCGAATGAGAATGCACTCGCACAACTTGTCCCATCGCCCAGACATTTCTCCAGAGGCGGCCCTTTCTCTGCCAGCCTGCCCTCCCCTCTCACTGCTAGAGCTTCCTGCAGGTGGCCTCACCTTGCATTTCACCGTCTCAAGATTTCTTTAATGCCCCCTCTTTCTCTTTCCCTCTCTTTCCTTCCCTTCCCCTCTCTCACTTTCTTCCCTTCTTTCCTTTCTTCCCGTACTTGATGTTATATCTTCCCCACATCCTATCCCCCCACCGCCCCCCCGCTAGTCCAAAGGTGACCTTTAAATGATTCTACCTGCTACGGCCACCCTTCCTTCCATTCCACAGGCTCATTCTCCTTCTTTCCTCTCCACCATGGTCCTCACGCACAGTGGTCATTGACGCTGCCCTGTCACACCCTCACCCAGGCCCCTGCCCCCCCTTCCATTCCCTCCCTCCTCCCCCAAGCATGTGGATTTTGAGATTCCTATTTGAGGAAACCATTTCTATTTCCTCTCAGTTTGTTTTGGATTAACGATCTAAATGCTCTCTCCCCAGTTCCGGGACTACTGTGCTATCTGCTTACGATGGGAGTGGCCCGGGTCTCCAAAAGCCTTGGAAAAGTGCAATTTGGAAGCCACTTTCTTTGAAGGCCATTTTTTGAAAGTTTTATTTGACAGAATGGGAAGAATTCTTGATCAGGTAATAAAACAGCCTGCCGCTCAGACATTCTGACCCTGTTGTGTGTTTGTTTTTCTGAATATCACATGCATAAATGTTTAGGATGTATCATATGCACTCTGACTAAGGTGGTGAGAACTAGCTGAGTTACAGGTGTTTCTGCTTTAGACGAGCAAGTGGAGGAGGGAGGAGTGAAATGGTCGATTTTCCTCTCTTGAAAGACAGAATGGTAAAGTGCGCGCTCCGGGATGGACACGATGAATAACGTCAAATGTGTTTTTGTTTTCTCACCCCTCCCTAGCCATACGATGTAAACTTACAAGTGACCTCGGTGTTGTCTAGACTGTCTCTCTTCCCTCACCCGCACATACACGAATACCTTTTGGATCCCTATGTGAACCTTGCTTCCGGCTGCCGATCTCTGTTCTCGGTCATTGTCAGGGTGAGTGATCAGTTTTGCTATATGTTCTATAGGGTTAATAAACCTGTCCAATTAACAACTTAATATCATTGCATGTAATCAGGGTCACATAAAGGAAAATATATCTACTGTTTGGAAGTAGTTATTTCACTATACAACATGAAGAAAAAAAGAAAAATTAATTTTTTAAAATGATATGTATATAACCTCTCTATTTTAAGGAATAGATAAGAGTCCTCTGTCAAAGATGGTTATGCAAAGAATGCAAGGTGACATTCTTCATTTAGTGAAAGGAATTGGGGTATGTTTTTTATCCTGGAAAACCCCTGTGCAGCCGGTTTTAGGAACCGAGTTCCTTTTGTTTCTGTGCTGCAGGTTGTTGGAGACCTTATGGTTAGAATCCAGCGTATTCAAGACTTCACTCCCAAGCTGCTACTAGTCCGAAAGCGATTGCTTGGTTTGGAACCGGAAGGCCCTATGTAAGTCAGTGTTTCACTTTTTAAAAAAATAAAAATTCCACCCAAACTGACCGCCTGCTGCTATCCTGATTGACCTGTTGCCCACTCGACCTTTGCAGGGTGGACCATATCACCTTGCTGGAGGGCGTGATCGTGCTGGAAGAGTTTTGCAAGGAGCTGGCAGCCATCGCCTTTGTGAAGTACCACGCTTCCTCCACCCCGTAGAGATCCCTCCCAAGCAGCGAAGCAAACAGAACTGCTGTGCACATTTCATCACAAAAGGCTCCGTCCCACCTCAACACCTCATGAAGGGGGGATATAGGCCCTTTTCAATGGAGTATTGCTCTGAACTGGACAGAAGCATTTCAAACCCATCGAGTGAGCACCTTCAGTACCGTGTTGTATCTTAGTGTCTCCGTTGCTTTTTCATAAAGGCTCGCACACAGGCGTGACATCCCTGAGTCTGGGATACAATCAGAGGAACTTCAGGAAATGAGCATCTCTAACGCCTGTGTGAAAAGCTGCGGAAGACCATGTCATGCCTCTGATGTTTCTGTTATTTTAATATCCTTTTCGGTAGTAAGGCATTTTGACATTCTCTGGGACTCAGATGCTTATATTCTTTTGGATTAATCAGTAGCAAAAAAAAAACAACAACGAATTTTTATAACTTTTTAAGGTAAGAATTCTTATCAAACAAAACATGAAAAACTGTAAAGGAGAAAAAAACCACAATTCAGGGACCATCAAATGAGTTGAGTTAATAATAGGAGCTAAAACTGTGTAGAGAACCATGGACTTCCTTCAGCTTTTCTAAGAATACAATTTAATATGATAATAAAATTCTTGATTAATATAATATATATATATTTTTAAAGAAATGTTCTTTTACTCTTGTGCACATTGCCATGGAGGTGGTTAATGTTCATGTATGGGTCCCAGCTTACTTAGACCGTGTCATTTTGGCAATCATACTGAGTTTGCGCTCACCAGTGGTAGGTAGTGCTTGCTAAAATAGTATTTTTTTAAAGCTAATTTACACCTATGAGGTTGAGAACTTTTTTTTTTTTTTCCTATCCCTCTTTGAAAATTGTTTCATAAAATCACTTTATTATTTGATTTTCTTACTGCAATGCATGGTCGTGTCTCGGTAGGGAACTGACTGATAACTCCTAGAATCAAAATTCCAACAGCCTCCCTAATGTTTACATTTATTTTGTTCAGTCTTTCGTTTTAAATTATTTGAGGGAGAGAGCTGAAAACCAAACAGACAGACCAGTCTGTCCTGTTTCCGTGGGAAAGAATGTGGGTGAACTGGGTATGTGTGTGAGTGGGTATGGACGTAGGAACTGGAGGTAGCGTGGCAGGGCTGTGCAGGTGCCACGTGCTGGGAGTTAATTTACAAAATGATAAATTAACCGCTGATCTACTCTCTGGTCCTCCTGTAAGGGATGCTTACCCCTCAGAAATATTGCTTCTAAGAGTCCTTCTGTAGTTGAAATGTTAAGCGGCAGCACTTTTTTGTCTTTCTGTTTACTGGTATTTGGGGAGTAGATGGTCACATAACCGGCTTCTGGGGCCCTCTTGCTACTGGCCCTTCTGAGAAGTTGTTTTCTGTAGCGTGTTTGCGTTTTCACCGTGTGTGGCTTATGCACAGAAGTACGTTTTACACCTACCCCTGATTTTGCCGCGTTCGTTTTTCTGATTTATTTTATAGTTAGTTTTTGCTATTTATTGTGAACAAAATATCAAAAGATGATGAATATTCTTGGCTCTAGAGTGCTTACCACCGACAAAACAACAACCAAGAGACTGAACTTGTAATTCCATGTGAATCTTTGTTAGCTTCTTCTATGGTGTTAATTAAGCAGAACAGTGGAAAAACACAAGTGGGAGGCAGTTACTTTGTGCGTGATTTTCTTTAAGTGATTTTTCACGATGGGAAAACATTAAGTTTGCTGTACTTATTCATTAGGCCATGCAAGGAACTCAGCAACGTTTTAGGGGTAGTTGCAGCCTGCTTTGATGTAGGTGTATTTAAAGCAAAGCATTACGAGATATTAGATGTTTTCTCATGTGTTCATAGCGTTCAATAGGTTTAAGAGCAAAAATGTGATCTCTCAGACCAAATTCTATTTTATCTTGGATTTCACAATGGGACCCTATAGCTAATGCATGAAACCCAGTTCTGAAAAGCTTTAACTCTTATATTTTTTATATGTATGTATGCTGCTTCTTAAAACATTTTTCTAAGTTATTGTAATGACTTTGATTTGTAGTCAACTAAAGCTTGAAGTATATTTTGTTTCTCTTCTCAGTTTCTTTCTCTCCTTCTGCTCTCTCTTTGGCTCTTCCTTCATCTCCCCCTCTCTTTTTCTTTCTTTCTTTTATTCATCTTTTGTAGGGACCTAGAGCCAGCACAACTTCTCACAGGGAGTTGGATTTGTTAGCGAAACATTGTACTACATTGCTCATCTTTTTGTACTGTCATTCAGAAGCTGAATCTTTCTATTACTTGGGTACTTGCAAAATAGTGACCGAAATGTACTGTGTTGGGTAGAAAGTACCATCTTAACAACGGAATGCCCTAAGCAAGTTCCAAACCAAATTTTAGCCTTGCTTCACATTGATATAAATAGCTATGCCCATTTTTAAAAAATCTTTCTCTCTAACAGTATAGTCTTTGTGGTTATTTTTAGTAATGAGCCAACGTTTCTTTACTTGCTAGAACTCAGACTTGTCTTTAGCCGATAATCATTGTAGTACTCACATTATAACTGTGTAATGTTCTCGTAAGATATCTGTGCAATATGGAAGCTATGAGTGGATTCATAGCTTTTTTGGTTTAATTGTACATCATTGTGTGTGTACATGTGTACATATATGTATATATATATAAGGACCAAAATCCTTAGCTTGCTTACACTGTTGCTAGTGTAAAGATTGTTACACTTAATTTTACAGGGCACAAATTATGGGAATTACCTTCATAGTCCATGGTAATATACTTCCATAAATTATTGCATCGATATACAATTACCAATTTAATTATCAAGTTCATAGGTATCGACAGAAGTTACAGTGAAGTGCTCAAACCACAAATTATGTGATAATTATATTTTGGGTTGTTTAATTAATCAAAATATGCATGTCATTGTGACACTTGATGTGTTAAAACACGATAGATAATCATATATCTGGGCCCTGTAAAATAGTGTCGCTGTAATACTCTGTTTGCCTCCGGCCTTGTTTACATTAAACAAAGGACATTTGGTAAATTTTCCTATTGAGCATTGTGTAGGTTACTGACAGTGTTACCACGGCCTGAAACTCTTGGGCCATCTATGAAGAAACTTCAGATGGTGATTGTGTACCTACTATCTCTTTAAAGGAAGTTGTGGTCAAGTCCAACTTTTTGTGCTAACAATGCATGCAGGACTAAGAGGGATGATCTAAGAAATAAATCATGTAATTTAAACAAAATGTCTTGTATTCTTATAGACTTCTAATTGGAAACATGTTCATTCACCGGTAAGTTGAAAACAATAATTCCTAACACACAAAAGGGTACGGCACACGACGATCAGTGGGTCACTATAGCATCGACCTCAGAGAGAGAACGAGAAAGAATACATTAATATTTGGGGGGAATGTGCAGTTTGAAAGATCCCACTGGGTAAGCCTCAAAAATGTGTCCCCTACACTTGGAATAACTATAAAGGCAGTGCTTATTAAAATACATTTCATTTTCAAAACTGAGCTATCAGCAGTGAAAGCATGTATCTATATCTTTGGGACACCCTGTATATTATCCACCCCACCCCTTAGGAATCACTTCCTTAAAGGAAGGAATGTTTGTAAAAGTCTTCAGAAGACAATTCATTAGAAGCATTACTTCTCATATATTTAAAACACGTATAAAAACTTTTAAACTGACATTTAAAATAACTAGACTCTGGGCTTATCCCACTCAGGTATTTGCCAAAGTCCCTAAACGGGAAACTGAAAGAAATGTAAATCGTAGCACAATCAGAAAGAAAAATCTAGTTATCAACCCCATCTACCGTGATTCTTTTCAGCCAATATTAGGCAGAATATTATAGTTTTGGAAGGAGGTGAAGAGGATAACAGGTTCTAAAGAGGCAGGGAGGGAAGGCTAGGCTTTGAAGAGTTGAAATTACCCTCCATGCCTTGAGCTACATCAAAGGAAACTGCGTTTTAGGAATATGTAATCAGATCCCCAGTCCAAACACCTGCTTCAGACTGCAATCAGTGAAGAATGTGGCAGCCTGCCAAACTGGTTATCTCAAAGGAATTTAAAGAATTAATGTTAAATTGTTAAGGTTGACATTTTGTTAGAGTGAAAACCATGCTGCTTCCTCAAAAAAAAAAAAAATAAATAAAAAATAAGCAAGCATACTTCATGACAGTTGGATAGCTGACAGATCCATGAAAGAAATGGGATAGTTTCTTGTCCGTCTTAAGCCAGTTAGGAAAGTTGTGGCCTATGGGTCTAGCTCACAGGAGACTGGTTAACTTTGCTATGGCTCACTCTCTGCACCAGGGAGCTCCAGCTAGGCCTATTCCATGCACACTCATGACTCATGGATGACAGTTATATATGCATTGGCGATTTTCATGTTATCGTTGCATTCCTAAAAGTGTATCAGAAATATGACACTTCTATGTCACTCCAAAATAAAATGAAATAATAGTTTGGTTCATTCAACAAACATTTTTGAGAACCTCATGGAAACCAGGTTTTGAAGGTGCTGGAAAACAATGGGAAGCAATTCTGCCCCTGAGAATTCAGTCTTGGTCAGTGTGTATGCAAGTCCATTACAATACACACACACAAACACACACACACACACACACACACACTGGCGAACGCTGTGTGAGAAACAGGACCCAGGTGTATGAGAGCACAGAGGAGCAAATAGTGTTGCGGATCATCCAAAGGGAAAATCCACAGCTCAAGTCTTGACTGATTCTTCCCTGTGAATTTAGAAATGCCAGATATCCTAAGAAGTCATAACCGTAAACTCAGCTCAGCAAGAAGTGGGGGGCTATTCTGTACTCTAGTATGTTTGCTTCACCATCCTTCTGAGGTTGGTATACAGCACCAGCCCAAACCAGCGTGCTTTGGGGCCCATATTTTCTCAGTGGATGAATAGTAATTACTGTACTGATTTAAATGATCTCTTTCTTGAATTATTATAGAG